TCCTTCCCCTGACCGCCTGCCGGTGCCTCCTCCAACCCCACCGCCTCCTCCTCCGCCGGTCTACGGCCCAGTGTTTCCTCCCTCGGACTCCTCTCCGGCTCGTTTCCCTCACCGTTCTCCTCCTGTGTCTCCTCCCCTCTCTCCTGACCCGACTCCTCCGTCTCACGTCTGATCTCGTCATCCGTCTCGTGCTTGTCCTACCTCCCCAATTGCGCGTTCTCACCCTATGTTGCTTCGCTCTCACGCGTCTCGTGCTCCTCCTCTCCTTCCGTCTCCTCCCCCGTCGTCACTTGTTGTGGCTCCACCTCCACCTCCGTGCTGCGCGTCCCCTCGTTCCTCGTGTTCTTGCCTCTCTTGTTACCGACCCGTCTGTTCCTGTCTCGCGCCTTTCGGCTCTTGTCAATGCTGTCACTGACTTCGCCGCTACCCGCCGCTTGGACTACGCCACCGCTGTGGTCTCTGACCCTGCCTACCCTCTGACCGTCGGGGGTGTGGCTGCTCTTGGCAGTGACGTCCAAGAGGACAGGCAGCTCGAGCTCCCTTTCCTGTCTGAGGACGCTCCCCATCTCTGTTCCATGCTAGTAGTCCCTGAGGGTAACCCAGACGCCCTCGACATCCTGACCCCTCGCACCTACGCTGAGGCCACCTCGGGACCCCGGGCCTCTCAGTGGATAGCTGCAATGGAGCAGGAGATGGCATCTTGGAGATCCACCGGTACCATTGTCGACGCAGTTCCCCCACCTGGAGTGAACGTAGTCGATGGCCGCTGGCTCTTCAAGGTGAAGCGCCCTTCTGGAAAGCCGCATGTCTTCAAGGCGCGCTACGTCGCTCGAGGTTGCAGTCAGCGTGAGGGGGTGGACTTCTTTCAGACCTTCACACCAACCCCGAAGATGACCACTCTTCGGGAGCTGCTACACGTAGCAGCATAGCGTGACTACGACCTGCACTCCTTCGACTTCTCCACAGCTTTCCTCCAAAGCAGTCTACACGAGCAGGTCTACCTGCGTCGCCCCCAGAGCTTCTCCGGTACCTTCCCCCCTAGCACCGAGAGGCTCCTCCGGCGCCCCGTCTACGGCCTGCGACAGGCACTCCGTGAGTGGCACGACACGCTGCGTGCTACACTTGCTGACTTGCAGTTCCTCTTTTCGTCTGCAGACCCTTCGCTCTTTGTCCGTTTCGGCCAGACTCCGTTCTACATCCTTGTCTACGCAGACGATCTGGTCTTTGTTACTGTAGACAGAGACGCACTGGCCGCCATGAAGGCCGAGCTGCTGAGGAGACACACCTGCACTGACCTAGGAGAGCTGCGCCGCTACCTTCGCTTGCAGATCTCCAGGGACAGAGCAGCGCGCACCATCACTCTCTCACAGTCACACTAGGTGCGCCAGGTCCTTCAGAGGTTCGGCCTTCAGTTCTCTTCCGCACAGCCCACCCCTCTACCAGTAGACCACATACTCTCTGCTCCAATCGCGGAGGAGGCTGTAGAGCCTAATGCTCCTTACACAGAGCTGGTGGGTTGCCTCATGTACCTGATTACTTGTAGTCGTCCAGATCTCGCATACCCTCTCAGCATCCTGGCTCGGTTCGTAGCGACAGACAGACACCGACCACAGCACTAGTTGGTAGCTAAGAGGGTTTTGCGTTATGTAGCAAGAACATCGGGCATGGGGCTAGTGCTAGGAGGACGGAGACCAGTGGTCGTGACCAAGCACACAGACTCTTCTTGGGCAGAAGACGCCTAGACTTTCAGGTCCTCACAGGGCTACTCTTCTAGCCTTGGTGCACGTGCCATCTCGTGGAGGTCCTCCCGCTCCTCGTCTGTTGCTCAATCTAGCTGTGAGGCTAAGATCTACGCAGGTGCCATTGCGGCATAGGAGCTCCGCTGGCTGACCTTCTTGCTCACCGACTTGGGTGAGCGGCCTAGCTCTGCCCCGGTTTTGTACGCTGACAACAAGGCCATGATCCTCCTGTGTTAGGAGCCACGACTTGAGGGCAGAGCAAAGCACATCCAGCTGCGGTACTTCCTCCTCCGCGAGCTGCAGCAGCGTCGCCAGGCTCGTGTAGTACACTTGGCCTCCGGTGCCAACACAGCTGATATCTTTACTAAGGCTAATGCGCCTAAAGATCATCAGCGGCACTGTGTACAGCTAGGTCTCGTTCCTGTGGCCTCTCACTTGCTAGGACCTTGATTGTGTATAGACCCTTCTATATATATTACCCAGACTGGCCTTGTGGCCTCTTCCCAGTGGTTGGACTAGTAGTGCTTGTCAAATTATACATATATTGTTATGTAGAAGTTATAGGCTAGATAGGGTATGTTCTTAGTGGGTACAACCCAAACGCTATATCTCCCCTGTTCTCCCTTGTTCTAATCATTCTTTCTAGTCTTAATATGGTATTACGAGTAGGTAGGTCCACCCACCCTCTTCCGCCCTGTGCTGTCACCTACCGTCCCTCGCTAGATCTAGCCGGCCCCGTCGCGCCCCTACGGCCCCCTCGCGCCCTTAGCCGGCCCCGTCGCGCCCCTACGGCCTCGTCGCGCCCCTACGGCCCCGTCGCGCCCCTAAGGCCCCGTCGCGCCCCTAAGGCCCCGTCGCGCCCTTAGCCGGCCCCGTCGCGCCCCTACGGCCCCGTTGCGCCCCTACGGCCCCGTCGTGCCCCTAACTGTCCCATCGCACCCCTAGCCGGCCCCTCGCGCCACTACGGCCCCTCACGCCCCTAGCCAGCCCCATTGCGCCCCTACCGGCCCCTCGCGCCCCTAGCTGGTCCCGTCGCCCCCCTACCGGCCCCTCGCACCCCTAGCCAGCCCCTCGCGCCCCTACGGCCCCTCGTGCTCCTACCGGCCCCTCGCGCCCCTACCGGCTCCTCGCGCCCCTAGCCGGCCCCACGCGCCCTAGCCGGCCCCTTGCGCCCTAGCCGGCCCCACGGGCCCTAGCCGGCCTCGTCACCCGAGCCGCCGAGCCGCTGTGTCGCCGAACCGCGGAGCCGAGCCGCCGAGTCGCCGTGCCGCGGAGCCGCCGAGCCGCCGTGTTGCTGTGCCGCTGCGCCGCTGAGCCGCTGTGCCGCTGTAAAACTGCGCGATGGCGGACGCCGTTCTTCGCTTGGACGCTGAGGGGCACGCGATCGACTTCGCCGTCTGGCTCGTCGACCTCCGCCGGCACTTGACAGATCAGCGCCAGGATGGGCACTCCCTGGCTATGCATGTTGATGGTTTGCTCCCCCACCTGATCCCCTCCCTGCTGACCCTACCACTGCTGAGAGCAAGGCTTTTGCTGCTGCTGCGCTTGCTTGAGCTGTCTGGGATTCTCGCGATGCAGTAGCGCAGCTTTATCCTACCCATTCTCTTCCCATATCTTTCTACTTTTGCCATTGTAGCTAACCTCGCCACTCACCTCCGTGCACTAGAGACCAGCTACCGCGCTGCTAGCTCTGCCGCCCAGCTTACTGCCTTCCCCCCACCCTTCTGCGCTACCCTGTACCTCATCGTCATGCGCCTGCCTGACCGCTTAGCCAATGCCCGTGACCACTTCCTTAGTCAGCACCCTGCCGACCTCACCCTGACCGCCTTTGTCACTAATCTGTCTGAGATAGAGCCTCGCCAGCGCACTATCGCTCAGCCGAGAGGTGTTGTGGCCGTCCCTATCTTTCAGAGCTGTGCGCCCTCCCAGTGCACGTACGCTGACGTCTCAGCCCCAGTACCCGTCTCCATGTACCCGTCTCCTCGTTGCATTACCCACCCATTTTCTTTCTCCGTTTTCGCCGCGCGGCCCTTGTCCCTGCTCGCCCAAATTCTTAAACCCGAAACCCTCGCCGGATCTTACGATTTGGTGAAACCTGGTGTCGCGCCATGTGATTGGCTCCTCTGGATGCAGGTGCGCGTGGTGGCGGCGCGCGACATGCCGCGGCAGGGCAAGGGCGGGTCGCAGCAGAGCCGGCTGGCGCTGCTGCACAGCCTCGTGCACATCGAGAGCTGGGCCGTCGACCTCGCTTGGGTGCGCGCATGGCCCCGCTGCAGGGAGAAGGGGGAGGGGCGGGGGAGAGAGGGGGGAGGGCTGTGTTGGGTTGAAAGGGAAGGGAGGGATGGGATGGGGGGGGAGGGGGAGGTGGTAAATGAACGGAGGGGAGGGGGAAGGGGAGCACCGTGATCTGGGAGGGGAGGGGATTGTTTTAGAGCATGCCACCTCGTGTTCGTTTGCCATGATGATTGCCACGTGTCCACACACCATCATCCCCTTCATTCACCATTTTCTCCAAACCCCGCTCCCATCCCCTCGCTCACCCCCTCTTTCCCTCCTCCCCCCTACCACCCGCCCCCCCCCTCCCCCCCTCCCCCCTTCCAGGACATCATAGGGCGGTTCGGCTGTGCGCAGCGCATGCCGCGCACCTTCTTCTCGGACTTCTGCCTGCTGGCTGCGCGGCTGCAGGCGCTGGGGTCCAACTACGGCGCGCTGCCCGCGCACGACGGGCTGTGGGAGTCCGCTGCTGCTACCGCGGGGGACCTGAAGGCCAGGCTGGCAATAGAGCACTGCGTGCACGAGGTGTGTGAGGGAAGGAGGGGGAAAGCCATTCAACCACGAGGTGAGGGAGAAAGCCAGATTCACTCGGGACTGGTATGAGGCACTTGCAGAGTGATGAAGGAAAGGGTGCCACATGGGACAGACGACAAGAAAGCCTCCTTATTGACTTGCTCTCGATGTACGGTAGAGAATAGAGGGGCATTTATGTGGAGCGTTCTTTTCCAAGGCCATTTTGAGTTACTTTGAGGTACAAATAACCGATGTGCATAGATTTCCGTAGTTTGAATAAAGTGAAGTGATACAATCCTACTGTACTGCTTTACGTGAGATAACTGGATACACTTAGTCACATTCTTATGTAAGGTGATGCTCTTAGTGAGGACATGGGTTCTCCTCGCAAACCCCAGGTCGGCATTTCAAGCGTCATGAACACGACTCGCGCCATTCTCGCGGATTCCTCGGTTTCTCCACTCACTGCATCCCAGAGACTCACACCGTCTCTAGGTAGCGAGCGACCATCTGAACTCTGAATGTTCGAGATGCCGTTTTCTGAGGAGCATAGAAAACTCCCAGTAGGGGTGGCCGATCTCCTGGCGTTTTCGCAGTGTGAGCCATCACTGGCAGTCTCTAGGTGGGCAACCAGGCAGCGCGTCAGCGGCGTTTTTTGCATTCGGAACCCAGGCCAGCAGGCTCCTCCGTCAGCCATTCCAACTAGAATCGACCGGTTTTTCAGTGCAGAGCATCCGCAGGTTGGATAGCCTTTCGTCGCGCTTCCTTGCAGGGCGAATCAAGAATAGCAGCTGAGTTCATTCGCATCCTCGCTATAGCGCAGCACCATGGGAAGCGACGATGATGCCGGAACGGAGACTCCCACCCACGCCGTTCCTGTTTCAAGCGAAAGCCGTTCAAGCAGCTGCACCTGCACAACCCCTCCGGCCCCGCGCCGCCGCGACAGCCGCTGCACCCTGCTCCCGGCTCCGCGGCGAATGCCCGGCATCGTTTCAACCCGCCTTCGACGGCCACTGCGCTGACATGTAACGCTAAATCACAGGCGGCGGCGGAAGCGGACGAGACGCGGTACTACAGCGTGATGTACTGCCCGCGGAAGCCGAACGCGAAGCGCAAGGGCCCGTGGTCGGACGGGCTGCTGAGCGTGAAGGGGCGCGCGTGCGCGCTGCAGAACATGGACGCCAAGAGCGTGTCCAAGGCGCTCGTCAGCGGGTGCAAGGACCTGAAAGAGGGCTCCACGATCGAGGTGCCGCCTGTTCTCTTAGCCGCTGCGAATGCGAACGACTCATGAGTCATGCGTCATGCATTTCTTTTGACGTCTAAAGTGTTTTCTTCATAATGACGAGCGAGCAGTTCGTATGGTTAAAACTGGGCGTCACGAATTCGGACTTCCTTCTTGGATCGGCTCGCGACCGAGCTCATGTGTTCATACTGTCTCAACATTCGTCCTACGTGCAAGCAAGCTCGCATTTGGGAATCGAATCTGACTGCTTCCGATTTCAATGCTTCTTGATCCGCTTCGCTGTCCGGCCCAGCCTACCTGTTTTACCTTCCCCTCTTCCCCCCGCCCCTCTCCCCTCCCTCCTCTCACCAGGTGGGCAAGTTCGAGTTGGAGGTGATGAGTGAGGTGCCCCGGGAGCAGTTCCTCGCCGGTTCCTTCTTCATCCCCGCCGCCGCTGCTGCCGCGGCTGCGACCCAGCCTCCCGCAGCCACCTCTCGAATGGGCTATTCTGCTGGCAAGGACAGGAAGCGGGCTGCGGAGAGCAGTGGAAGGAGTGGTGGGAACCCTGGCGAGGGGGTGGCGGCGAACAAGTGAGTGTGGAGAGGAGCTGCTGGGGGGTTCGGGGGAGCCCATGTGGGGGGCTGTGATTGATGCAGGGATGACCTTGGGAGTAGAGCGAGTGGCGAGACCTTCAGAGGTCTGGAGAGGGGTAAGGTGAAGCTGTAAGCAAGGTGGAGAGATTGGGCAGTGTAGACGAGACGAGGGCGGAGATGTGAGAGAGAGGGGACGTGAGAGGGAGAGGACGTGCGAGGTCGTGTGGATGGGGATTATGAATCAGATGCTGTGGTGCTGCAATTGCATCTACTGTTTGACCTTGACGGCGCAGCTCATTGGCAGGCCTCACTCCTTTCGTACACGTCCGCCCTCTCACGTGCAACGCAAATTCTTGCAAGTCAATTGGTTGCATGGCTGGCGGGGTTCGAGCTGTGCTGTATGCCGTGCTCTTTCTCCCTCCCCTCGTGCGGACCCATCAGGAGAGCAGCCAGCATGGAAAGTCGCTTGCGGCTAGGCAACGAGGTATGGCAGTGGAGTGTTGTGGCAAGGCAATGGGGTATGATGTGGCAATGGGGTATGATGTGGCAATGGGGTATGATGTGGCACTGGGGTATGATGTGGCATTGGCGTATGATATGGCAATGGGGTATGATGTGGCACGGGTATGATGTGGCAATGGGGTATGATGTGGCACTGGGGTATGTTGTGGCAATGGGGTATGATGTGGCAATCGGGTATGATGTGGCACTGGGGTATGATGTGGCATTGGCGTATGATGTGGCAATGGGGTATGTTGTGGCAATGGCGTATGATATGGCAATGGATTATGATTTTGAGTTGCACCATGCTTTGCAACACATTTTCCTCTCTGTGTTCCGCCTCTGGCTCTTGCGTTCTCTTGCCTTACTGCTGCGGCTGGATTGTTGGGGATTTCCCTTCTTTCCGTTGCTTGCTCTGCGGTGATGTGTCGTGCAGGATGCAGTGTGTCTCAACCCAACCCAGAACGGAAAGGGAATCACCAAGATCTATCTTGACCCTGTACGCTTGTGTTCTTCTCCCTCTAAGCCTATCTTCTTCTCCCCCCAAGCCTATCTTCTTCTCCAGAATTAACGCCACAATGCTCATGCTCAATCAGCGCGCATGTTGTCAATCGCGATCCAATCTGCTTACGGCACTAGGCTGCGAACCACTTCCGTTGTGATTGTGGCAAACTATTCAGCTGATACCGTATATGTGTAAATTACTCGTATTCGTATGCGCCCTTTCGTCTTCCCTCTCCTTATTGCCTGTCCCTCCCTCCCAGTACATGAGTGCATTCATGAGGCCCCTTGAGGTGGAGGCTGTGCCATTCATCCAGGTGACCCTCTATCTTCGTTCTCCCCTCCCTCCCTCCCTCCCTCCCTCCCTCCCTCCTTCCCTCCCTCCTTCCCTCCCTCCTTCCCTCCTCCGCATCCCTCCCTCCTTCCCTCCCTCTCTCCCCCCCTCCCTGGCAGTACGTCGGCACGCGCATGCGACCGCATCAGGTGGAGGGCGTGCGCTTCATGCTGGAGAGTGTGCTCGAGGTGCGCGTGCCCGGCTGCTCCGGATGCGTGCTGGCAGACGAAATGGGTGAGGCGGGGCGGGGAAAGTTGACACGGGAGATGGGGTGATGGAGTAGAATAGCTGACACATTGGGTTGTGTGCTCCCCCCTCTGGTGTTTCCTGCACGGTTGTAGAGCCTCCCAACTGTAACCGTGCGCTCTCTGCATCGTCTCCTGTCCCTCTCCCCGCACAGGCCTTGGCAAGACTCTTCAAGTCATAGCTCTCATCTGGACACTTCTCAACAGGCACGTTTCTCTTCTCTCCTTTTCTCTCACTCGCCTGTTCTCTCCCAAACCCCTTCTCATGTTTCCCTACCCCGCCTGCCTTCGCTACTAGCATAGCATTACCCTGTCCGTTTCCGTCTCCCTCCTTCTGGTCTGCCGCTTCGTTTTTCCTCAGCCCCAAGGCGCCGTAGGCGTGCCTGCTTTGTGTGCTTTCTCCCTCCATGCAAGCCCTTCACACTGGCCCCCTGCAGGCGCTCTGCAGTCCGCCCTGCATTGTCACATGTGTCGAGGAACCAGTGGCGCTGGCCATGCCCATCACCTATCAGGGCTTCTGAGCACACGAGAGTCACCTTTGTTCCGGCCTGCACCTTCCTCCTGCCCTTTCCCCCTGCTATGCCCCCTTTCCCGCCCCCTCTCCATCCCCATCCGCAGGGCCCTCAGGGCCGCCCTTTCCTGCGCAAGGCGGTGGTGGTGTGCCCGTCCTCCCTTGACCCGTGTTGCAAGTGACCCCAATCCTTGTCCTCTCATACCATGCTCTCCTCCCCCTTCCCCCTGCAATCCCCATCCGCAGGGCCCTCAGGGCCGCCCTTTCCTGCGCAAGGCGGTGGTGGTGTGCCCGTCCTCCCTTGACCCGTGTTGCAAGTGACCCCAATCCTTGTCCTCTCATACCATGCTCTCCTCCCCCTTCCCCCTGCAATCCCCATCCGCAGGGCCCTCAGGGCCGCCCTTTCCTGCGCAAGGCGGTGGTGGTGTGCCCGTCCCTCGCTGGTCGACAACTGGGGGGCCGAGGTACGCGCAACACAAATGTGAGGCGCGCTGCATAGCTAGCCACAAGGGCGAGGCGCGGTACCCTTTGTCCTTGGTTGGAGTGGTGGCCAAGGGAACTTCAAGGTCGTGTGACGTGTGCTGCAGTTGGCTGTGCGGCACAAGATTGGGCAAAAAGCTGGGCAAAAAGCTGGGCACAAGGCTGTGCAGAAGGCTGTGCAGAAGGCTGTGCAGAAGGCTGTGCAGAAGGCTGTGCAGAAGGCTGTGCAGAAGGCTGTGCAGAAGGCTGTGCAGAAGGCTGTGCAGAAGGCTGTGCAGAAGGCTGTGCAGAAGGCTGTGCAGAAGGCTGTGCAGAAGGCTGTGCAGAAGGCTGTGCAGAAGGCTGTGCAGAAGGCTGTGCAGAAGGCTGTGCAGAAGGCTGTGCAGAAGGCTGTGCAGAAGGCTGTGCAGAAGGCTGTGCAGAAGGCTGTGCAGAAGGCTGTGCAGAAGGCTGTGCAGAAGGCTGTGCAGAAGGCTGTGCAGAAGGCTGTGCAGAAGGCTGTGCAGAAGGCTGTGCAGAAGGCTGTGCAGAAGGCTGTGCAGAAGGCTGTGCAGAAGGCTGTGCAGAAGGCTGTGCAGAAGGCTGTGCAGAAGGCTGTGCAGAAGGCTGTGCAGAAGGCTGTGCAGAAGGCTGTGCAGAAGGCTGTGCAGAAGGCTGAGGCTGAGGCTGAGGCTGAGGTGGTGTTTCTCAAGTCCACCCGAACTCATGAGCTGCCCTGACTTGCTTGGAAACCGAAAAAGACAAACGGGGGATGGAACATGGTTGGGCAACCTCAAACCCTCACCCCCCATCTCACCTCGACTTCTCACCCTCCCTATTATGCCCTCCTCTCTCCCCCCCAACCACCACCCCGTGCCACTTCATCGTCAGTTCCGCAAGTGGCTGGGCACGGAGAGGCTCAAGGCGCTGGTGGTCAACTCCAGCTTCACTCCCACTGAGGTATGCCGCCCGCGAGGGCCAGAGGGCCAGAGGGGGGTCAGGTGGCGGGGACAGACAGCAGAGCTTGAAGCGCCAACTGCTGCTGAGGTTCAGCACATTGTGGGCGTCAGGGTTTCGGACTTCTCGAAGGTTTTAAGCCGCTACGTGGAGGGGATGCCAGTGGGTGGCGTGGGGGAGGGGGTGGGGGAGGTGGTGGGGAGGGGGTGGGATTGGAAGAAGGAGGAGTGGGAGAGGATTGAAGGTGGAGGAAGGGGTGCGAATTGAAGGATGGCAGTATGCAGATGCTCCATGCAGATTTTTAGAAAGCCTCAGTTTCAGTGTCCAGCTCTGCTTTACAGAGGCAGGAGCGTGGAGAGGAGAGACACGTGTGTGAGCAGGTGTACCGTGGAGTGGAGGTGAGTACTGTTGGGCGGATATTGCAGATTCCTCTGTTGCAGACACGCCATGACCCTCCTTTAGCTACGGCTGCTCGGCGTGGTGTGGTATGGTGTGGCCCATGCTCGTCACGTCCTACGACCCGGAGGACTCTCGTGTGCTTTCCCATCCCATGCAGCCATCCAGCGCAACCCTGCGTGTAGGGTGGTGAAGCACAAGATCTCAGATTCCGAGGCGCCTCAACATGCCTCTACCCATCTGCCGCACTGTACCTCCAGGCGAAGGGCAAGATAGCAGACTTCAAGCACGGCATGGCATGGTGTGGCCTGTACCCATCACGTCCCAAGCCCCTTCATGCACCCGTTTGCTGTGCCTCCAGGCGAAGTTCAAGATAGCAGACTTCAAGCACGGCATGGCATGGTGTGGCCCGTGCTCATCACCTCCTACGACCTGCTCCGCCGCCACGCCGCCCTCCTCGCCGCTGCCGCCCCGCAGCTGCTCGTGTGCGATGAGGGGCACCGGCTCAAGATCTGGTGAGGAGCGTCTGTGGGGGTAGCAAGGGAGAGTGATGTCGTGACCTCAAGGGCTGCTGCTGTGAAACGAGGGGCTCTGGCTGAGTTACTGGTGAAGGACTTCTTAAAATGTTGAGAGGTGCTGTTGGGTTGATGGGTTGCTGCTGCTGCCTTCAGCTTTTCTCATCTCTTCCTCCCCTGCGAACCACCTCTCCCTTGGTCGCTCCTGCGCTTGCAGTGCGGGCAACAAGACCATCACCGCACTGCAACAACTGGGGTGCCCTCGCAAAGTGCTGCTGGTGAGCTGAAGTGGTCATGCGTTTAACTCGTGTGTCCTATCGTACATCTGCCCCTCAACACACACTCACGTCCCGCTTTCCTCCCACCCTTCTAACCTTGTCACAGCCTCACTCGTCCCTTTCCAACTTCGTTCTAACATTGTCACGGCCTCAATCTTTTCTGTCGCTCAGAACGTCATGCTCATCCAGAGCGATTCTAATGATTTCCTGCTTATTTATATCGCGTTGGACCGAACCGCCCGTTCATCATTGAGATACACTCCTGTTCGTTTCTCCCTCCCCCCTCCCCCTCACCCCTCCCCCTCACCCCTCCCCCTCACCCCTCCCCCTCACCCCTCCCCCTCACCCCTCCCCCTCACCCCTCCCCCTCACCCCTCGCCCTCGCCCCTCCCCTCGCCCGTTCTCCCCTCCCCCCAGACGGGCACGCCCATCCAGAACGATCTGAACGAGTTCTTTGCTCTGCTGGACCTGGTGAACCCGGGGTGCCTGGGCCCGCTGCCCGCCTTCCGCCGCATCTTCGCCGACCCCATCCAGAGGAGCTGCAACCGCAGCGCTACGTAAGGGTTGCAGTTAAAGGACCGTGGCGCGGCACCACAGTGGGATGATTGATTGCATGTGGTCTGACTCTGCATTGCAGCATGTTGCATCTTTTCTGACCCCATTTATTAGTCTTACTTCCTACTATCCTCTGTGTCTCTCCTTCCCTCCCTCGCTCCCTTGCTCCCCCATACTCACACGCGTGCAGAGAGGAGGAGGTGCGGCTGGGGGAGGCTCGGTCGCAGGAGCTGCAGGCCAAAGCAGCGGCGTTTGTGCACAGGCGCATGGCTGCTGTCAATGCCGCGTACCTGCCGCCCAAATCTGACTCAGCACTGCTTCTCTCCGCCTCGCCTGCTCTCTCCCCCTTGTGCTAGAAACGCTCTATGTTACAGTTGGACCATCCCCACGGTCTTTGAGCTCTAATACATTTCCCTCCCCTCATCTCCCGTCTCTCCCATCAGCTACATTGTCTTCTGTCGACTGCATCCGCAGCAGGCACACAAGTACTCAATTCCTGCAGTCAACGGTATGTCCAGTCTGTCTTATGGTCCATGGACAGCTCTACACTTCCAGGTTTTCTATTGTCGGAATCTGTTTGCTTGCCAGCTAATGGTACCTATGCATGGATTCCGTTGTGCGCTGCCCTGACCTCCGTTCGGTACCTCCACAAAGATGATTCTTCCTCTCTTTTATTCTTTTCCACATCCCCACCACCTCTGCTATCATACCCTCCCCTATTTTCCTCTCTCCTCCTTTCTCTTTCCGACGACGACCCCATTCTCCCCCAACCCCCACCTCCCCCATCTAAACCCCCTGCAGCACGTGCGCTCTCTACTCTATTCCCCCGTCGCCACCACCACAGCCAGCGCCCTGACGGCCATCTGCCACCTTAGGAAGCTCTGCCTGCACCCCGCCCTCGCCGCCACTCCCATGTCTTCCACTCCCGCTGCCCGCCGCACCCGCTCCCCCTCGCCTGCTGCCTCGGCCTCTGCTGGCTCTGGTGATGTGGTGGAGGAGGAGGGGGGAGATGAGGGGGAGTGGGCTGAGGGGATGGTGGGAGAAGAGGAGGATGCGGAGGAGGAAACTGAGGAGGGGGCAGCAGAGGGCGGAGAGGTGGGAGGAACGGGTGGCAGGAACCAGGCAGGGCAGAAACGTGGTGGCTTCAGGTAAACAGATCCCAGGAGGCCGATGGGAGTCCTTGCAGTATTTCTTGTGTATGGCCTCACAAGCATGTTATGGTTTCGGGTCAGGGTAGTACAAGCATGCCTTCCCCTGGTGCAGCCCTCCCACAAGCAATATCCCTGTTTCCCTCTCCCTCCTTCCTCCTCCTCCTCCCTCTCCCCCCAGGCGCCCATCCATGCTCCCCCAGCCGTCCCCATCCGCCCCAGGCGCGCCTCTCTCGCGCACAGCAGCAGCAGCAGCAGCCTCTGCTGCGGCCCTTAAAGCCCTGGGGCCCGATGTGTGGCGCCTGAGCGGCAAGCTGCACGTGCTGGCCTTGCTACTGCGGGCAGTGTTCGGGGAGAAGCAGGGGCGAGGGGGAGCGAGGGGAGTGCCGAGTCTAGTGTTACTGATGGTAGCAGTAACAGCCGCGTTCAGGACAGTGGTGGCAGTGGCGGTGGTGGTGGCAGTGGGGATAAAGTGGTGATAGTGTCGAATTTCACACGGGCGCTTGATGTGATTGAGGTGAGAATCCTTTTCCAGTACCAGCTCAGGTGTCATGGAGGAGAGGCGAGAGCGTGCATGCGATTGTTGGATTAGAAGTCTGCCTGCACCTCCTCCTGGCATCGTTTCCTCGGTGTCCTCCCTCGCACTGTCTCTCCCGCCCTCCCGCCCTCCCGCCCTCGCGCCCTCTCAACTCGCCCCACCAGGCCATGTGCGCATCCCACGGGTGGAAGACCACGCGTCTGGACGGCAGCACGGAGGCAGCGACGCGGCAGGCTCTGGTGTGTGCGTTCAACGCGGGGCGGGACGGCAGCCGCTGCTTCCTGCTCTCGTCCAAGGCGGGCGGCGCTGGCCTCAACCTTGTGGGCGCCAACCGCCTCGTGCTCTTCGACCCCGACTGGAACCCTGCCAATGACAAACAGGTGGGGGGGAGGGGAGGAGGAAAGTTGATGCCAACCGACTGTGGCTAACAGCGTTAGCGGCAGTGGCGTATGCCATCTGACTGGCGCTCTTTGACGCTAACGACAAACAGGTGGGGGGGAAGGGGAGGGGGAAAGGTGATGCCAACTGACTGTGGCTAACAGCGTTAGCGGCAGTGGCGTATGCCATCTGACTGGCGCTCTTTGACCCTGACTGGAACCCTGCTAACGACCAACAGGTGGGGTGGAGGGGGAGGGAGGTGTTGCACTGTTGGTACACACTGTTAGCGGCAGTGGGATATGCCAACTGGTGGGCGCTTTTTGACCCCGGCTGGAACCCTTCCAATGACAAACAGGTGGGGTTGAGAGGGAGGCGATGCACTGATGGCAAATAAAGTTGGTGGGAGTGTGCTGGGTTGGGCCAAAGGGCTGCTGCCCCCGACTGGAACCCTGCCAATGACAATCAGGTGGGGGAGGGTGAGGGTGCTCGTGAGGCGGAAAGGCGGGATAACAGCTGATAATGCCACCCGACTGGTGCTCTTTGACCCCGACTGGAAGCCTGCTGATGACAAACAGGTGGAGGGAGGGAGAGGTGATGCACGGTTGGCTGACACACACAAACACACACACACACACACACACACACACACACACACACACACTCACACACACACACACACACACACACACTCACACACACACTTAGGAACGGGCATACATGCACACATCCTCGCATGTCCCTTGTAACCCCACCTCCCTGCAGGCCATGGCGCGAGTATGGAGGGACGGGCAGAGCAAGCCTGTGGTGATCTACCGCCTGCTGGCCACGGGCAGGTGAGAGGCGAAGAGGGCCGGTGAGGGACATCTGAGCAGCGGGTGAGGGGCAGTGTGGGCGGTAGGGGGAGGTTTTCTTAGCCGCCTGAAAACAGAGCAAGCCTGTGGTGATCTGCGGCGTCCTAGCTATGGGCAGGGCAGAACTCGTTGCGAAAGATGCATCTCTGAACCCACCCTGCGCCCACTGCTCCCTCCCTCCCTCGCAGCATAGAGGAGATCTTTCAGCGGCAGCTGATGAAGGGCGAGTTGGCCAGTGCGGTGGGCGATGGCAGCACTCAGCAGGGCTGTGCCAGCGGTGCCGGTGGGAGAAGTGGAGGCAGCAGCAGCAGCAGCAGCAGCAGCAAGGAGGGGCGGGTCACTTCACCAAGGAGGAGCTGCGCGAGCTCTTCACTCTGGAGCAGGTGAGTGAGCGCTCTCTGCCGTGTTCCCTTGACAAGAGGGGGTGGGAGGCCGGTTGCAAGCTGGCATGGCAGGATTGGATTATTTTGAAGGAATGATGTGGCAATCCCATTGGGTGTTCAGGTAGAGAGTGAACTCTCTGCTGTATTATGTGAATGCATGTTGCTCTCGTACCTAACACCGAAACACCTCATGTGAAGACGCTCCTCCTGCACCACTCATCTACGGTTCTCTCCTGATGCCACACGCTGCAGACCACTGCCTGTGACACTTTGGACCTGCTGCTTCGCTCCAACTCACCCCTCTCGGCCAAATGGCTCGCTGCTGCCACCACGGATGCTGCTGCTGCTGGATCCACCATCACTGGCAGCGCCACCTCTAGCTCTGCTGCTGTTGTAGCCGCGATGAGCAGTGGGGGAGGGAGACTGGCGGCTGGCATTGCAGATGATCCCTTGAGAGAAGTGACTGGCATGTGCGAGGGGGTCACATTTGTGTACCACGAGAAAACAGGGTTCGAAGGCGGCACAGAGAAGACCATCGTAGAGGCGCGTGCTGGCAGCAAGGGGCTTGCAAGTAAGCAGGGAGCACAACACGGCAGAGAAGGGACGGGAGGGTGCAAAGAGGAGGAGGAAATCGAGGAAGAGGAAGGCAATGTTGTTCCAGTGATAAAAGCTGCTACTGGTGGGGGAGTGGTGGTGCTGTGGAGACAGGCATGTGCACGGAGAGGGTGGGACGAGCGTACGCTAGTGAGGGCACAGGTGGCGGGGCGGCAGGGGACCTGCTGACCTTCGACACCTTGAGGGCGTGGCGGATGACATGATGGAATTGTTTGGCTCAGACGTGTTCTGAGAGTGCTGTTAGTATGTGTGGGTTTATAGCTAAGGTGCATGACGGAACTTCTGTTGATTGCCAAGAATGCATTACTGAACCATGTGCAGGAGACTGATGCTTGAAAGCCACTATGCTTGAACAAGGCATACATTGGGTGACAACAAGAGAGTGCACTTATCCACCTATGGCAACAAAAATGGCAGCACACAGCTCTAAAAGGCACCAAGGCGCTGCCGAGCTGGACGAGTTGGACTATTCAACACTCCTCCCAAAGCCCTACCTTGCCTGATTGTAGATGGTAATAGTTGGTATGAACAACCATTCAGCAATCTGAGGGCCTGAGCACCAATTATCAAGGCACAATGGACCGACCCACCCAAACATACCGTACTAGCAAGGAATCATGAGAACTTACAGGCACCTGTCAGCCCGAGTAAACAGGAGCTTATCTGAAGCAGTAAATATAGGATTTCATAATGAAATTTAGGCTAGGAATCTAGCAATAATTGGTTCGTTCAGCTTGATTGATCAATGGCCTTGGAAGCACACAAAAATCCACACAATAAAGGAGAAAATCGTGTGGCTCCAACAACATGAGATCATTCACTAAAGCGTTCATGCCAAACAAGGACTTGAAGAAACTGATCGGACCCACCAGTCCGTGTGCTTCGGCCCTCCTCCCCGTCTCGCTCATGGCACTCGAATCTCGTAACCACGTTCGTCACAGCTTCGCAATGCGCAAACCCGAGCCGCATTTCGGACCACAACATTGATGGCAGAAATTGTACAAATTCGCGGCCAGCAGTTTCCATAACCACAATTCAACACATCCTTCATTGCCCCATCACTTCTCTTCCTTGGTTACGATACGAGCACAGCCGCCAATCTTGTTCTCGAGTTGAACCTCCGCGCCTTCTCCATGGGGAATCGACGGCTCCTATTGCTTCCGCTGGTTCTCTTCCTCGTCATCTGCGCCTGCACAGCGCAGCCTGTTTCCCGTCGCGGCCTGGTCAGCGGCAAAGCCACCCCGTCAGATGAGTCATCCGCTCCCAATGATGCAGTCTCGTGGAAGGCCTCTAGCGCCAGTGGTACGCCCGAGGTCAGCGCGCGTCACGGCAACTCCAAGGCTGAGAAGCACGTCCCTGGGGCCCGCGTCGAAACCGTTGGAGGAAACCACTGGCAGCAGCGCCGCGCTACAAACACGTGGACGCCAGCTGGAAACCAGCATCCGAGTCGCTCTGGCCCAGTCACAGCGCAGCACCACAAGCGCGGCACCAACGAGCGGGCCGCGCCCCACGTCCGTCCCAGCGGCGCATTCCGCGTCGCGAGCAGTGCTGACGTGGCGCTTCGCCACCACAACCCTCCGCGTGGCTCCGGAAGCGGCGGATGGGCAGCGACCGAGCAGCGCAGCAACGAGAACAGAAACGGTGCGCAGCACGGCGCGGCAGGGATTCACATGGCGGCAGCTGAAGACGTGGCGATTCGCCACCACAACTCCCCGCGTGGCTCCGGAAGCGGCAGGTGGGCAGCACCCAAGCAGGGCCGCGGCACTGCTGGCAGCAACCGCAAAGGCGGCTTCAAGGTGCACAGCGAGAACAACCAGGCGCAGCACGGCATGGCGGGGGTTCACGTGGCGTCGGACGAAGACGTGGCGATTCACAGGGGGCACGGCGATGGCGCCGCAGCCTTGCTGCCGACGAGCAGCGCCAGCCGCCATGGTGCCGCGGATCCGCGCCTCGCGCACCCCTCTGGAAATGGTGACTTGAGCGGTGGGGACTACGAAGGGGCTGGCGCTGGTGCGAGCAATGGCAGGGACTACACCGACTGCGATGGCACTGGGGATGGCAGCAGCGGCGGTGGGGGCGGCGGCATGGACGTGGGGGCGATCCTGGAGGAGCACAACAGGGCGCGGCAGGAGGTGGGGGTGGCGGACCTGGCGTGGGACGACGGGGTGGCAGCGGCAGCGGCGGAGTGGGCCAACAACCTGGCCTCCAGGGGGTGCCCTCTGGAGCACGGAGGGGCGGAGGGGCTCGGGCAGAACCTGTACTGGCGCGCACCCGCGGGGCTGACCCCTGAGGAGGATCGCATGGCGGTGCAGTCGTGGGTGGCGGAGAAGGCGGACTGGACGTACAGCCCCGTGCCCGAGGGGTGTGCGGACGGCAGGATGTGCGGGCACTACACGCAGGTGGTGTGGCGCGACACCACGCATGTGGGCTGCGCCTCCGCGCAGTGCCCTGATGGAGGCGGCATGTGGGTGTGCGACTACTCCCCTCCTGGCAACTTCGTTGGCTCCACACCCTTCTAGGGAGGGAGGCTTCTGGTGGAGAGCGGTGGTGGGATGGAGGGAGGGGTTGGAGGTTCTGTGCTGGTGATGGTGCAATGGTTTGCTAGAGCAGTGGAAGGGCGAAGCATGGGAGGAGTCTGTGAGCTCTCTTAGCTCTTGTGAGCTGCTCGCTCATGCAGAGTGTGTGTAGGCAGTACGTTTCTGATGTACCTGATGTGTTGGAGACTTTTGCACTTTACAAAAAGACAATCAGGCAGAGGACAATGGATTTCACCCATGGCAGGACAACATCGCAAAGCAAAGAACAAGGCCTGGAACCTAAGAGGGACGGAGAGAGTGCACGAAGTCGTAGCGACTGTGCCAGGCACGCACCCCGCTCCCCTGCCGTCAATGCCCTTGCTGCACTTGCGCCGCACGTGCCCTCCCTTGCTCCTCTTCACTCCCCCCCCCCACCTCTCGCGGGGATCGTCTTGATCTTCACATCGGCATCCTCACCACACTGTATGGCGGTGTCCACCTGCGATAGCACGTACTGGATGCGCAGCGAGACGCCCATGCCCACCCATGCCCACGATGCGCCACACCAATCCACCCCATAGCATGCCACAGCAGCGCGATGCGGCCAGGAAGAACCAAGTCGAGGTGGGAGGAACGGGAGAAGGGGAGGAAAACGGGGAATGGGAGGGGGCGATATGCCAGAGTGTGGGGGTGTGAAGAAGGGGGGCTAGGGGAATGACGTTGGGGCAAGATGGATGGGGAGAGATGCAAGGGAAAGAGGGGAGGTAAGCACAGGGCGGGGGGGAGGAAGGGCATGGCAGATGGGCGTTACTTACAGCGAGGTGGCAGAAAAAGGCGTGTGCAAAACAGGGAGAAACGGAGGAAGGATGGGAAGCGTGGGAGGGTGGAGTTTGAAGGAACCTCCACGAGAGAGGAAGGGAGGAAGGACTGCGATGGAAAGGAGGGCGTGTAAGGAACGAGAGAGAGAGAGAGAGAGAGAGAGAGAGAGAGAGAGAGAGAGAGAGAGAGAGAGAGAGAGAGAGAGAGAGAGAGAGAGAGAGAGAGAGAGAGGGAGGGAGGGAGGGAGATGGCGTGCCTGTCTACGTCGGGTATGTCGGAGGGGAGGAAGTTGACGAAACTGTAGCCATCCACCTGCCATGCACGCATGCAGGCCACGAGGGGGGTGGGTGGGGAGGGGAGATGTAACGCATGGCCTCTGTACAGTACACGGGCCTAGAAACGACCGTCCCAACCACCTTTCACAAATTGGCTACCTATGCTAGGTAGTGTGAGATGGGAAGGAAGGGTTGGAAGGGGAGGATTGGGATTGGTCGATACTTGGGACCAATCTGATTTTAGTTGTACAAATTGAGCACTAGTTGAGCGTTACTCCACCCCTACTTCCGCCTCTACTGGCCGCTTGATCCTACCCATGCTCTTCCCAGATCTTTCTACTTTCCCCATTGTAGCTAACCTCTCCACTCACCTCCGTGCACTAGAGACCAGCTACCGCACTGCTAGCTCTGCCGCCCAGCTTACTGCCTTCCCCCCACCCTTCTGTGCTACCATGTACCTCATCGCCATGCGCCTGCCTGACCGCTTAGCCACTGCCCGCGACCACTTCCTTAGTCAGCACCCTGCCGACCTCACCCTGACCGCCTTTGTCACTAATTTGTCTGAGATAGAGACTCGCCAGCGCACTATCGCTCAGTCGAGAGGTGTTGTGGCTGTCCCTATCTTTCAGGGTTGTGCGCCCTCCCAGTGCACGTACGCTGACGTCTCAGCCGCAGTTGCCATGACTGCGCCTGCCCCTGAGACAGCAGCTGCGGCTTACCCACAGCAGCGCCAGCGCCGGGGCCGCCGTAGCCCCAAGGGAGGACGTGGTGGTGGCGCTAGTGGTGGTGGTGGCAGGGACAGTGGTTCTGACGAGGGGGCTGGAGCTACTGCCCAGGAGTAGCAGCAGTCCCCGCAGTCGCAGCAGCAGCAGTCGCAGCCACAGCAGCAGCAGCAGCAGCCGTCGCAACAGTAGCAGCAGCAGCAACAGCCGTCGCAGCATCAGCAGCAGCACCAGCAGCAGCAGTTGTGGGCTTGCCTCTCGCCAGGGTGGCCAGGAGCCCCAGGAGGTGGTGGTCGCGGGGGTGGCCCTCACAGCGTGGCGTCCACCAGCGGCTTCGGTGCTGTGAGTTGTCAGTACCAGCTCCATACATGGTGTGCCGCCACCCGCACCCGATCCCCTGCTGCTTCTGCTGCCTCGACGACCTCTTCCGTCGCCGCTTCGGTCCAGCCTTGAACCTCCGTGACAGGCCCAGTCTGCTTCGCCACAGTGTGCGTGTGGATGACTTAGACATGGATCAGATTAGTTCTGCCTTGCATTCTCTGTATGCTGACGCTTCTAGTGTTTCCGGATCTTATTACTCTGTGTTCTCTAGCTTAGGCGTAGCACCTGTGTGTAGGCCAGACTCCCTTGCTGCGTCAGGCGTAAGACAGCTTGCTTTGTCTAGCCTAGGCTCTACCCTTGCTCCTCCGTCGTCAGCCACTACGGCGTCGCTGTCCTTCACTCTTGACTCCGGTGCGTCAGCCTATTTCTTCCGCGACCACGCCACTCTCACACTGCTTGCTGCACCGGCCGATGTAGCTCTTGCTGAACCCTCCTCTGGTCTTGTAGTTGCTCGCAGCTACACTACCCTTCCATGTCCGGCGGTTCCCTCGGGATCCCTTACAGGCCTGCACATCCCTTCGTTCTCCAGGAACTTAGTTGGTGTCGGCTGTCTTCAGGACCTCGGCGTCACCAATACATTCCCTGGTCACGAGCGGTGCGCGCTCTGTACTGAGACCGCCTCAGGTG